AACTGACATAACGGATCAAGTAATAAAACAAAAATAAAATAATAATGAAACAGATCCGAATAAAGCAAATAAAAATTTTTCTCCGTTGCTTCCCCAGTAATGGCACCAAAAACTTGGTGTGTCCAGAAGCACGTCGTTAAACAACCCGAATCACCAGTTTAAACATTTATTATTTTTACCGTTTCTCAAACAACTATTAACGTAGTAAATGGGTGAAAATGGGTCGTATCTACAGGGAAGCAAGGGAAAAATTAATATACACTCAAATCCGGACAAGAGAACACAAGAGGGAAGTGCAGAAATATAAAAATTAATTAATTAATCTGAGAAAAAAAATAGAATTGGAACAATACCGAAAGTTAAAAGTGTAGAAACAAAATAAATTAACAAAAAAAATGAAATAAAAATTTGTAATCCGATCAGAGGTAGCAGTCTCCGAATCACTCCTTTGACCCTCGAACTTCTCAAGCTAGGCCTTCCGTCTTACCTGGCCGAATTGCAGATCTACAGAAAATAAAACGAATATCAAATGGAATGAAAATAAATTGCAGAAAGTAAATAACGAAATTGGAATTGAAAGAACAGAAATTAAAACTAAAATAAAGTAAAAGTGGTTGGGATCCGATTCCAGAGGTGGTAGTAATGGTATTGGCGAACTGCAAGTAGGAACCCCTCCTCTTGCTTGGGCATCCTCCTCTTCCTCTACCCTTGAACTTCTCAAGATCAGCCTTCTGTCTTACTTGGGGGTAGAATCCAACCCTTTTTCAGGAGCCTTTAGGTCCTTTTTATAGAGAAGGGTGGACACAATTGGGATTAGAGAGAAAGAAGGGGGCGACAGCTTGGTTTTATGTAAGGCTGAGATTTAATGGCTAAAGGGTGAATGGTGGAGATTAGAAGTTAGGTGGCTCCTAGGATTAGAATGCTAAAAAGAGAGTGCCCTAGAATGGGTGGTGGAGATTAGAAGGGATGGAAGGTGAGGATTTAGTAGTTACAGGCAGCTAAGGTTTGTTAAGAGTGAAAAGAATGGGTTAAAAGGCGCCCTAGGGTTTGCTAAGGCGTGGGAGCATGCTAATACAGTAGGGGGGCCTCAAATTGGGTTTAGCAGCTAGGAGGCGCCCTCCTGCTTTCAGCTTTTCACAAAAACACCCCTTCTCTCAATCGGACTTCACACCAGCTTCCCAAAATCTGCATTTCAGCCAAGAAAACTTCCCAGTTTTCCCCAGAATTTGCACAGAAACCCTCAGAGGTCACAACACTGAATTTAACTGGGAAAATGGCATACTTTGACTATTCTAACGCCAAAAATACTCCTGAATTGATGCCCTTAAGGCATCAAAATGCAGAGTTATCAAAAGTTAGAGCGCCTCCGAGCTACATGACGGATTCCATTGACACAGTAGAAGAGCCATTAGAAGAAATCAACCTAGCAACTGACAAAACAGACAAAAGACCGTTATATATATCCACCAAGTTGGAAGCCGAAGACAAAGAAAATCTTATCACACTCCTAAAAGGTAAGGAACTATCCTTATTGCAAAAACCTGACCCAGAAAATAGTCTAACCTGTGTATTCTCACAGAGTTTCAGGATGTATTCGCCTGGTCATATGATCAGATGCTTGGATTAGACTTAGACCTCATCAAACACTCCTTGTGTATAGACCCGAAATTCCATCCAGTAAAGAAGTCGTAGAGGATTTTCAAGCCAAAAATAACCCTGATGATCAAAAAGGAGGTAGAACGGCTTTTGAAGGTGGGTTTTATCAAACTTATGGCACACCCTCAGTGGCTAGCCAATGTAGTTCTAGTAAAGAAGAAGAACAGACAACTAAGGTTAGTGTTCTCCCACCTAGTCCTATAGTGGTAGCATATCACCCAAATACTAACCCCACCTTATCATAGATGTTGTGTCGACTTTAGGAACCTAAAAAAGGCTTGCCCAAAGGATGAATTCCCTCTACCCAACATGGAGGTGTTGATAGACTCTACTGCAGGGCATGAGCTCTTCTCCTTCCTAGACGCCTACAGTGGATACAACCAGATATTTATGGATCCAGTAGACGCACCCCATGCAGCCTTTAGGATACCGATAGGGAATTTCTACTACAAGATGATGCCCTTCAGCCTAAAGAATGCAGGGGCAACTTACCAAAGAGCAATAACTAGCGTCTTCCACGATATGTTACACAAAAAAATCGAATGCTATGTGGATGACGTAGTTGTCAAAGCAAAGAAGGAGGACCACTATGAGGTTTTAAGGAAAGTCTTCACCCGATGTAGGGATTTCAAGCTAAGGTTAAACCCACTAAAATGTGCAATCGGGGCGCAGTCAAGGAAATTCTTAGGCTATAGAGTAGATTAGATAGGAATACACCTAGATGAGAGTAAAGTCAAAGCCATCCTAGACCTCCTACCTGGTGTGTCTGAAATCGTGTCGTTAACCACTTCAAAACACCCATTTTAATATTTATAGTTTTTCTTCGATTCTCAAACAATTACAAACATAGTAAAATGGTGAGAATGGGTCATATCCACAGGGAAGCAAGGGAAAAACCATTACGTACTTAGATCCAGGAAAGAGAACACAAGTGGGAGTTGCAGAAATATAGAAATTAATTAATTAAACTAGAAAGCTAGAATCCGAACATTGCTGAAAATTAAAAGTGTAGAAAAATAAATAAACACAGAAATAAATAAATGAAGGAAACAGAAGTAAAAAAAAAAATCTGTAATCCGATCAAAGGTAGCATTCTCCTGATCTCTCCTTCGACCCTCGAACTTCTCGAGCTAGGCCTTCCGTCTTACACGGCTAAATTCCAGATCTGCAGAAAAGAATACGAAGGTCAAACGGAATGAAAATAAATTGCAAAAAGGAAATAACGGAACTGGAAATGACAGAACAAAATTAAAACTAAAGCTAATGGTTGGGATCCGAATCCAAAGGTGGCAGAAGTGGCTTTGGTGAACTGCAAGTAGGAACCCCTTCTCTTGCTTGGGTGTCCTCCACTTCCTCTACGCTTGAACTTCTCAAGATTAGCCTTCCGTCTTAATTGGGGGCAGAATCCAACCCCTCCTCAGGAGCCCTTGGGTCCTTTTTATAGAGAAGGGTGGATACAACTAGGATTAAAGAGAAAAAGGGGTAGGTAGCTGGGTTTTAGCAAAGATATGAGTGCCTAAGTGTTTCTAATGAAGGGTTTGGATGGTTTTGGGGTGATCCTAGGGCTGAAAAGAGAAGGAGAGGGCGCCCTAGAGTGGATGGCTGAGATCTAGTGGTTAGGGGCTGAATGGTGAGGATTAGAAGTTACGTGGCGCCCTAGGGTTTAAAAGCTATAAAGAGAGTGCCCTAGAATGAATGACAGAGATTAGAAGAGGTGGAGGGTGGAGATTAAACAGCTAGGGGTGGCTAGGGTTTGCTAAGGATGAAAAGAATGGGTTAAAAGGAACCCTAGGGTTTGCTAAGGAGAGGGGAGCATGCTAATATAGTAGGAGGGGCGCCATTTTGGATTTAGCATATAGGAGATGCCCTCCTGTTCTCACTTTTTCACAAAAATACCCCCTCTCTCAACTGGACTTCACAACAACTTCCCAAAAACTGTAATTCAGCCATAAAACCTTCCCAGTTTTGCATAGAATTTGTATAGAAACCCTTAGAGGTCACAACATTGAACTTAACTAGGAAAAGGGCATACTTTGACTATTCTAAGGCCGAAAATACCCCTAAAATGATGCCCTTAAGGCATCAAAATACAAACTTATCACCGCCTCCAACCAATGAGTCTCAGTTAAAGGAGGTTCATCCCTGGCCTGGCACATGCAACATTGCCACTCATGAAGCTAATCAAGAAGTCTGCCGAGTTTAAATGGACCCAGGAGACACGCCCATGATCATTGTGGCTGAAAGCAACGAGTGGGTCTTAACCTTTTACAGGAGTAACACTAGCACCTTAGCTGGCGCCGGGGTAACACTGTCCTCACCCGATGAACAAACGTCCACTAACTCCTTCAAACTCTAGTTCCCCTGTTCACACAACATAGCCGAGTATGAGGCCCTAGTCCTCGATCTAATCAAAGAAATAGAAGCCGGCACAAAAAAGATAAAGGTGATTGGTGATGCTAAACTAGCAATCAGGCAGCTTGGTAGAAGTACAACAATAAAGGAGGTAACTATCCTGCCACATAGGATCCTGATCCAGAGGTTAGTCCACAACCTGGATGTAGATTTCAAACACCAAAATAGAGCCAAAAACAGGTTCGCTGACGCGCTAGCCACTTTAGGGTCCAAGGTACAAGCTAGCACAAAGCCAATAGAAATCACCATCCAGTCAGTCAATAAAAAATCAATCTTCACCCTGAGGGATTGGGTAGAAGAGGAGCATGAAATCACAACGGATGATTGGAGGTACGAAATAATCCAGAAGCTGAAAAGTTAGACCATAGGGATACAAGATATCAGGTTGATCACAAAATTCAGCTTGTGAACAGGGTACTGTACCGCAGAGAGTCAGACGGAGTAAGAATGAGAAGCCTAGGGAAATTAGAGGCCGAAGCAGTGCTGGACGAAGTGCACAAGATCAGTTGTGGGAATATCACAAGTAGCCTATTCCGAAGACTACAAAGGTTAGGGTATTACTGGCTTGCGATGAAGTGGGACTCTACCAAGGTGCAGCGGGGATGCGATAAGTGCATCCCACAAGTGGACGGTAGAGAATGCCTCATGGTCTATGAGGAGGATTGGAGGAGAATGTATATAGAATATCTGAAAGACCACACATTGACCGTTGACACTACATTGAGGAGGAGGCTACTATCTAAAGCTAGGTGGTTTTACCTCCAAGATGGAATGTTATACAGAAAATCACACACAGGAAAGCCTTTGCGATGTCTGGTTGGTGACAAGATCAACGAGGTACTAGAGGCAACTAATAGCTCCGAACCTGTAGCCCATCAAGGACAACTAGCACTACTCAACCATATCCTACACTTAGGCTTCTACTGGCCAACCATGATGGAGGATACGCAGCGACATGTACGCAGATGTCATAAGTGCCAAGTCCATGGCGAAAGAACCCATAAACCTGCCAACAGTCTCCACCCAATCATCACACCCTGGCCTTTCCATACTTGGGGGGTAGACCTCATAGGCAAGATACACCCGCCTTCCAAAGGGTACTACTTCATTATAGTGGATATAGATTACTTCACCAAATGGGTAGAGGCCATACCCTTGCAACGAATCTGTGCAAAGAACATAGCCAATTTCCTAAGGCAAAACATAGTCCACAGACTCGGAGTCCCAATGCGGATACTAATAGACAATGGCATATCCATAAAAAACCAAGAAGTCCATGACCTCCTAGGGCAGTACAGTGCAAGATTAGGAACATCCACAACATATTACCCACAAGGAAACGGACAGGCAGAAGCCACAAACAAAACTTTACTCAAGATGTTAAGTAAAACAGTGGCCGATAACCAAAAGGACTGGGCATAGAAGTTGTTAGAAACCCTTTGGGCCTATTGCACCTCTATCAGAAAGAGAACACAGGTGATGCCCTACTCATTGGTGTACGGTCACGAAGCAGTACTCCCAGTAGAGATACGAGTCGTATCCGCCAGAGTAGAATTTGCGGTGGGCAAGAAAATCAGGCCAAAGGACATGGATTAGTTACTTGCAAACAAGCTCGAGGTAATCGATGAGATTAGAAACATAGCCTCACAAAAACAAAGCAAGTATAAATAGGCCCTAGCCACGAACTTCAACAGACATCTGAGACCCAGAAGCTTCAAAGAAGGAGATAAAGTACTAAAGACAGCGATCGATGTTAGGCAAGGCAAGTCCGTAGAAAAATTCGCCCCAACATGGGAAGGGTCATATTTGATAAAAAAGCCCATACTTCGGGTTACTAAGTATTAAAAACTATAGACACGGAAGAAGAGGATGAAACAATCAATGGTAATTGATTGAAACCCTACTTCGAGTAATTTTGTATTCCTGTAATTCCACCATTACATGTACCCATTTTATGAATAAATGTGCAATGTTTCAGTATACCTGCTTCCTTATTGAACTCTATTACTAATGTCTGTATCAACAACTCGCACATTTTGTGATAAAGTTTATTTCCTTTCATATGGTTCTTATTGCGATAAAGTTTCTTTCCTTTCATGTTTTTTTACGTAAAGCCTACACGCATCTATATACTGTGAAAGTAATTAAATGACCTAAATACTATAACTTGTTCAAATCAGCTCCCCACACTTGCATTCACTCCTGGCAACCCTGGGCAAGCCCTGGGAGTCCCAAGCACTGTCAAAGCCTTGGCAGTTCCAAGCACTCTCAAAACCCTAGTAGTACTAGGCACTTTCCAAGCCCTAGCAACCCCCAGCACAGTCAAAGCCCTTGCAGTCCCAGCCAGGCACTATCAAAGCCTGGTAGTCCCAAGCACTCTCAAAGCCCTGGCAGCCCTAGGTGCAGTCAATGCCTTAGCAGTCCCAGGCACTCTCAAAACCCTGTCAGTCCCAAGCACTCTCAAATCCCTGGCAGTCCCAGGCAAAATAAAAGCCTTGACAGTCCCAGGCACTCTAAAATCCCTAGCAGCCCCAAGAACAATCAAAGCCCTAGCAATCTCAAGCACTCTCAAAGCCCTGGCAATCCCAGGCACTCACAAAGCCCTAGCAGCCCCAGGCACAGTCAAAGCTCGGGCAGCCCCAAACACAGTTAAAGCCCTAGCACTCCCAAGCACTCTCATATCATGGTTGGTTCCACGATGCCACATGCCATGCAAAGGCCCTGGCAACCCCAGACGCAACCACACCTCCATGTAACCTTTGGGGGGCATTGCCGATAACAAGTATGATCTCTATCCAATTTGAAGTGATAGACACCCTGCATAAACCATGAATACAATGCTCGAATGGGGAGTAATAGCACCCTACATAACCCGACAACACCTCAGCACAACTTAACTTTTTTAATGCAATGCGATAAAGCTGACCACGCCTGTATCGATACTTGACTGCGATAAGGGCGAATGAGCCCATCCACTAGAAACAGTCAGACAATATTGCCCATAAACGTTTCCTATAAAATTCATGCAACACTGTGCAATTTTTGAAATGGTCTCTCCTTGCGACATCCAACACACTCGCACAAGAAGCCCAACATTATGGACACATGCAATTCCCTTCCCTTAGACTCCACTTATGATGTTTCTAATTTGCGATTAACGGCGGGAGGAATAATGATAGGATTTTATTTTCAAAGCACTATACACTACAAGATCTTAGATCCATATTAAGCTCAAATTATTTTTACGAAAAGCCAACAATTAACTCGCCTTGCCGTCGCAACGAAAAGAGACTCTATTACACACGAAAATGAATAAACAAGAAATTGAACCGACAATCACATCAAGATTAAAATCACTAATCAAACATTCATATTATATTACAAGACATCCCAGAAGGATCAATTACAATCTAGGGAAATTTAACATTCAGAACAAGCACTAATTATTTGGCCCACTCTTCCCGCATGGCAACAATGGTCTCCAACACTGAGCTAGTCTCCTCGAATTTTCTCAAATCCTCTAGCTCTGCTTCATACTCTACGAGGATCTTCTTCTGCCTTGCACATTCCTCCACCGGGTGGGTCATCACACGACTCATCAGCATAGCGATAGTATTCAGCATAGGCCACGACCTCGGGATGCATATTCTCCTCTTGCAACCACCCAACACGTATGGCGATTGAAGCAAATTGTGCCATTGAACTAGATACACTGCACTAGATGCCCTTACAGTCTCCCTAAACCGAAACTGGATCTACAACTGGGAAGTGTAGAGACGGGACGTCATGATTATCGCAATATTCCATAAGCTCCCACTGTATTTGAACCAGCTCTTCCTCGTAAGTCAACACATTAGGAGGAAAGACAATCTCAAGATCCATGTCCCCATCCCCCGACTGATGTTCCAAGCCACCAGAAACACAAAATTCCCCAATCGGGACCTCAGACTCAACAGAGTCATTAACCTCAGGCCCCGCATTAGTGTCTCCAAATTGGTCGTTCACGTCTCCAAGGACCCCAACCATTACGACGGAAGACTACGGCTCAACCGAAGCCCTACGCTCTGCATCTACGGGGGCTTCAGAGTTGACAATAGAGGCAACAGATGGCTCTGCACAACGCACTACCGTGTCCACGTCCACAGCCAGCTGACCTGCCTGACCCGCCTCTTGCACTACAACACCAAGAACGTTGAAATCACCCGCAATGTCCTCAACAACCCTCGAACCAAGAATGGGAGCTGCATTGACTGTAACTCCTTAGCCAAATGCCTAAAGAAGGGCGTATCTAGCACGCCAGGAGGATACACAGTGGAAGGTACCTGCAATAAAGTCAGATACAAATGGTTAGTCATGATAAGTTTGGATACGTGCAAGCCGGTAAAGCAGCCAACGAAGGACAAATAACACTTACTTCTCGGCCCGAATGACTGACCCCTAAAACATCCTTGTTGGGCTGAGCCTCATTGAAGTCCACCCGCTTAAAAAAAAAAAGACTGTTTAACAGTTAGTCCTCACAATGCATAACGAACATAAGAATTCAAAAATAAACGTACGCACAAAGTTAATCACCAAATTCACCTAACTAGGACTCCTGCTGACCGCTCCGAAGGAACCACCAAAACCTCTGTGTCTAGTTGAGCACCATCACTCTCCACAGACTGCAAGGATGACAAGCAAACAGTGTTAGTTTAGTCTTATCGCAGTGATACAATTTCAAAAAAAAAAATAGAATGTAGTAGCAGAATTCACATACCAAATCATATGCCCACTCAAAAACCTAACACAGGTAATCTTACCAACAGGCACTATCACTACCAGTTGCGCAGGCCCCACCACCAGCGAAGCTTCCCCGTCTGGAGGAGGTACTGGAGACTCCCGATCAACCTCCACTAGACACTCTTGAGCCCGTGATGAAGTCTCGCCCGAGCCAATAGAGTGTGCTGTAGGCCTTGGCGGATTTAAATGGGGTGCCCTCGCTGTCCTTTGCCTCTTCACAACGGGAGGGTGAACACACTCTTCCTCCTCCAAAACAAGCCCCTCTCTGTCGCGCTTAGCATTCTTCTTGTCCGGTGAATGCGAGAAAATGGGAGATGGCCCCCTATCCAGGTTAGCAGCGTGATCCTTTGGGTGTGCCAACACATGACGGAGGCGGAGGTTCACCCAAATAAGCTCTTGAAAATCTCCAAAGAGCGCACAAGGATACGCCAGCGAAGTGACTAACACCCCTCAACCCTAAAATAGCTAGGGGTGTCCAGGGTTCAGTTAACCGGACCATGGCCCTTTTTTGTAAACCAAACTGGTAGTACCAGTTTTTTCATTTTGCCAAACTGAAGCCGAACCAGTACCACCTGTTAACTGGTCTGCCGGTTTCGATTTTTGACGGGTTCGGTTCTTGGTTTTTTGGTTTTTTATATTTATAATATATTATATAAATATATGTAAAATATTATATTTATTGATAATAAATGATATATAATATGTTATAAATATTTTTAAAATATATAAAATATTTGTAAATAGATCATTATAAATATAATATAAGTATATATTTATATATAATAAATATATATTTATATAAAATATATAGAAAATATGTGACGTATATTAAAAATAACCAGCAATCGAACCGGTCCTTCGATTTTTCAAAAATTCTGAACCGAAACCAAATCGATCGATTCGGTTAACCGCATTTTTCAATTCGGTTTTCTCAGTTCGATTCGGTTTTTTGGTTTTTCGGTTTTTCATGGACTCCCTTAGAAATAGCCCACAATGGGGAGCCTTGATATGTCAAGAAAGGTGAGCTCATGGCGCCGAATCCAGAAAACATCTTCCTCCCAAGCCTTCAAAAACTGGGCACCAATATCATCGTACCTGAATTGGCGTAGCACTCGATATGGATGGTACACAACCAACTGTGTTTCGCCAAAGCGGTCAAGGTAGGCTACCACACAAGGCCAAACCACCAACCGCGCTATACCGGTAGAGGCACTCCTGACGTCCACAACACAATGCTGGTCACCACCCTCTAGAACAAACATGCCAATACAGAATGGCATAGCATGTGGAACAGCCTAAACATAGGGCCTCCAAGTGAAACCATCGAGTGAAGCAAGTCTTACATCGATGTTACTCATCTTGAAGTCCTTATGCCTGTCAGCTTGCAGCCAACGCTTCCCGTGGCACACATCGAACACCTTCTCTTCGAACGCGTCCCCTACCATGGTTTCCATAGTGACGTGCATAGGAGAAAACTCTCGAGGTGTGACACTAAGACTAAAACGTTCACACAAATACATCCACAAAAAGGGGGTGCAGATATAACTGGTATGGCACTTGCAGATGGGATCCATCATCTGGTGAATGGTATCATCCAACTGCTCATACAAATACCCCAGAAACATAGACGCTAGAGGCAGCTGATGACCACTGGCAGCCCAAAAAGCAAGAGGGACCAGAACAGTACGCAACCCATAATCAGGGAGACTAGGAAAAAGAAACCAGGAGGCCAAGCATAGAATATAGACGGCAAAGTGGCACTGGCTATCTGCTCCACGAACAATCACGTCCCTCCCACCACGGCATTCAAACGAATACTCCATCCAGTGTTCCAGTGGCAATTTCTCAAGGGCAGTAGTCTTGTCTATTCAGGCCTTAAACGATGCACCCTCAACAAGAAGCTGGTCACAGAGCTCCCTAAGATCATGAGGGATAGTCTCAATATGCTGGAGGTGATGAGCAGACATAGAACCCCCGACAGGCAACGCTAGCAATGCAACCACGTCTTCCACTGTGACCGTAAACTCCCCTAATGCGCCAACAAAAGTATGAGTATGGCAGCACCAGTGCTGCAAGAGGGGTTTCACATACTTTGCACCCTCCCAACCCCTCAACCCAATATAGCAATCCACAAAACGAAGAAGACCGGCATCCTGTAGCATCCTACAGTACATAAGGTTTTCCAGCATGAATTGTGTCCAAGCACTATAACTGTTCAGGGACCTCGAGCTATCAGTCCTAGGCTCTTGGCACTTGTAGGGCACCAACAAATTCATTCGGCCACAAAGACACATCAACTCAGTGGCGTTAATGACATCG